GTATAGTGAAGATCCACTATACGCTAGAAGATACCCAATATGATGATGACTTTATCGTATTGGATTTGGATGACAAATTTAATGTCATCCTTGGAATACCGTGGCTCAGAAGGTACGAACCACGGGTAAACTGGCAACATCGAACAGTAACGATGCCTGCCGCTTGTTCATCAGATGGCCATCTGATGAACGTTTCGGAGCGTCCTCAAGCGTGTGGATGTACTACGAGTGAGTGCGATGGCCTCACTTGTGGTACGGTCGTTAGTACGACTGCACAAAACCTTAGTGTACCAAACGGTTACACTTCGGAGCAAAGTTCCGGCGGCTGTGAGGAAACACAGACTGCGCCGAAGGTCCACCGCTCGAATAAGTCGGGTGGACTGGGACAAAGATGTATCCCTAGCGGGGAACATCTAGAAGAGAAACAATCAATCGCTCAGGTTAAGCGAAACGATAATCCTAGATTGACTGGAGAGTCTTTCGTAGAGGATCTCGCTGTGGTTGCGCAACCCCAGCTAGAGGAAGTAAAGGGAATAAGTCCCAAGATTACAAATACGGTGGAAATAAGTCCCCGAAACCCGCGGGAATAAGTCCCCGGGAAGCCGAAGGAATAAGTCCTTCGAAGCCTGAGGGAATAAGTCCCCAGGAAATGACAGAGACATTGAATGTCATAGTCAATAACGGATCAAGTGTAGGCGCTTATACACTTGATCTGATTGCGCCTCCGAAGTTAACTTCGGAGATCACTCAGTTGCCAACGCTTGAACATAAAAGGTTCTTGCGTGATCTGCGTAGTGGCAAAGTCAAGCAGATCTGCATACTCGTCGCTGAAGACGAGTATGTAACCGACATAAGGTCAGCAACAGTGTTTACTGAGAACGAGAGAGTTCTCAGTAGTTCATCTATGGACGAGAGTGTCCTAGATGAAAAGACACGAATTGAGCGATATGAGTCCCAATCATGGGAATCGCTCAAGGAAAATCCTCTCTATGAAGATTTGGTTGAATTCAAGGATGTATTCCCTGAAACTGTTCCGTGCGAATTACCGAAGGATAAAGGTATTCGACACGAAGTCGAGCTTAAACCAGGCTCGAAGTACTGTGTCATGAAGCAGTGGCCACTGCCTCGTGAACAAGTACTTGCGATCGACAAGTTCTTTGCCGATCGTTTAGCAGCGGGCCATGTGAGGGAATCAACTTCCCCACATAGCTCTCCGACCTTCTGTGTGCGAAAAGCAACAGGAGGGTGGCGGATAGTGCACGCGTTTAACAAATTGAACGCTGCAACGGTACCGGCTCAGACGCCGATACCGAGGAAGGACGTAATCATTGATGGTATGTCAAAGAGTACCATCTTTTCGTCCATGGATTTGATGGATGGCTTCTATCAAATCCTAATGCGGGAACGGGATATACCCTATACCGCAGTTAGCACGCCTAGCGGCATGCTCTGGGAATGGCTAGTAATGCCACAAGGGCTCAGTAATGCCCCTGCCACGTTCAACAGGTGTGTATCACATCTGTTGAGGCCAGTACGAGAATTCGCGCCGAGTTATTTCGATGACGTATTCATCCATAGTCGAGCTATGGATGGAAAGTCGGACGTTGAGGTTCACAGATACCACGTCCGACAGGTTCTTACAATCATGCGAAAGCATCAATTGTATGCAAACCTCAAAAAGTGTATATTTGCAGCAAGCGAAATACCACTTCTTGGGTGCATCGTTGGTAAGAACGGTGTACGTCCTGATCCCGAAAAGATCAAGGCGATCACCGACTGGCCTGTGCCGGTTGATGTCAAAGGTCTTCGAAAATTCCTTGGGCTAGCGGCGTATTTGCATAAGTATTCACGCAATTACGCCGAGATGACTGTGCACCTCTCTCGTTTGTTGAAAAGAACGAGAGGTGGTTATGGAACGCTGAATGCCAACGCTCCTTTGAGGGTATCAAGTAGAGCTTGATACAATCCCCAGTCCTAGCAATAGCCGATCAGGACAGGCCATTTCATGTGGTCTGTGATGCCAGCGATTTTGCAATCGGCTGTGCATTAATGCAGTACGATCTTGAAGGCGTTGAACGCGTCGTCTGCTATCAGTCGCGTCAGCTGCAACCAGCTGAGCGGAACTATCCAGTGCATGACAAGGAAATCCTTGCCATGAAGTATGCACTCGCGAAGTTCAGAGTCTTTCTATTAGGAGATAGACCCTTCATTGTTTACACTGACCATGCGTCATTACGCACGGCAGTGAACAGCCCGCACCTTTCACAACGAATGGCGCGGTGGTTGTCATTCTTTGCAGAATACAACTTTACAGTCGAGTACAAACCAGGACGACTTAATGTCGTCGCTGATGCACTCTCACGTCGTCCCGACTTTGAAACAGTCGCGAAACCCAACAGTGAGACAGTCACTGTTGCGGTTATGACGTCCTCAGTCCCATCTACAACGTTGTATGATGATGTGAGGCGGGAATACGCCCAAGATGGTGAGATAGTGAAGTTGTTGGCACATCTCTCACAACCATCTCGAGAATCGTTGAAACGATTGTCGTCTGCGTATCGATCTGCATCAGATCTATACACTACTCGCAACGGTTTACTGTATTACAAAGCCGTTTCTGGTGACACACCACGTGTTGTCATTCCAGATGATACTGATCTGCGTTTGCGGATCATGTTCGAGTATCACGATGCTCCTATAGGAGGACAATGTGGCCGAGAGAAAACATATCTCACGGTAAGTCGAGACTTTTACTGGCCCCGCCAGTATCAGTTTGTGCGAAAGTATGTTCGCGCATGCGAAGTCTGTCAACGAGTGAAGTCAAGTCCTTCACTGCGTGCACCTTTACAGCCTCTACCGGTTCCGGCTGAGTGCTGGGAATCCATCTCAATGGATTTTGTCTTCGGGTTACCCAAAGACGCACGCGGGAATACGGGTATTCGCGTTTTTGCTGACAGATTCAGCAAAATGGTACACCTTGTGGCTGTACCAGAGACAATCACGGCAAGTGGCTGTGCTTGTGTCTTTATTGACACCATCTTCCGACTTCATGGGTTGCCCCGTGAACTCGTATCAGACAGAGATCCACGATTCACTGCTGATTTCTGGCGTTCCGTGTTCAAATCACTCGGAACGCGCTTGAAGATGTCGACATCTGATCATCCAGAGTCAGATGGTCAGACGGAACGTGCCAATCGTGTCCTTGAAGAGATACTTCGAGGATACGTACACTCCTTTAAGAGTTGGAGTGAGTTTTTGCCAATGGTAGAGTTTGCCATCAACAACTCGGTGCATGCGTCCACGACACATACACCGTTTTACGTGAATGGCTTGCGCCATCCGCGTGTACCCACCTTACTAGAGTGTAACTCTGGTTTAAGGGGGGGAGGGACTCGCGCGAGCAAAAACCGATTTAGTTCACGCTCATCACGCTCTGACGAAGAAGTCATTGCGTTTGATGCCGATATCGATAACATCGATATCGAAGAATATGATGCCAGTGCGAGTGCGGAAGCCCTCACTGAAAAAGATGATCCCAGTGAGAGTGCGGAAGCCCTCACTGAAGAAAAGGTTGATGTTGCTGCAGTGCGCTCACAGCACACTGAAGCTAACGAGTCATCAGATGAGTTCATACTGGCTCGTGAAACGGTAGTCCGTTTTGTGCAAGACTCCATCTCCGAAGCGGTGGATAAGCAAAAGCAAAACGCTGACAAGAATGGAAGGGCAAACACTCTTTTATTTAATAAAGGTGACTTAGTCCTACTGTCTACGGTTAATCTACCAAAGCATGTAGTGACTTACTTGGGTAGCAGTAAACTACTACCCAAGTACATCGGCCCATTTCGTGTATTGCACCGCCTAGGCAATGCATACACGATCGAGTTGCCACGTAAGATGCGAACGCATCTCACGTTTTACGTTGGTCGGCTTAAGCCGTACCATCAGTACGCTGCTTCTTCCGATGAAGAGCGCCCTTGCGCTCAAGCATCTCGCAGAGAGCCTTGTGCTCCCGATGGTGGGCATCAACAAGGGTCTGAAGAGCAGCTATCTCATCCCGAGACCGATCAGCAATCCCACGAGCTACCCTTAGCTCGTCACGAAGAGGTGTCAGAGATCTCTCGTTCTCAAGCTGAGCAAAGGCAAACTCAGCTCGATGCTTCGAGGCAGTGTCCACCATCTGGAGACGCCTATTCCGCTCATGCTCGAGATCGTCGCGTAACCCTTGCGTTACGCGATCAAAGAAGCTCTCGGGAACACACCGATCCACATGATCGTGTGGAGAGCGTCTTTCCTCCTCCTCCACCTCCATTAGAGGACTCTCGCGGTGGCCAGCGCTATCTAGTAGAGCAGCTGTTGAACCACCGCGACGTGAACGGACGTCGGACGAGTTATCTCGTCCGGTGGCGCGGCTATCCCCCGTCCTGGGATTCTTGGGAGCCCCGCTCCCAATTGATGGTTGACGTACTGGGTCTGGTCGAGCAGTACGACGCGACACATCCTGTGCCGCAGAAGGACCGCCGGAGAAAGTCTTCCCGGCACGGTCGTAAAGGGATTTCAGGTTGTCAATCCCTTCGTACATCTCAGTAGAGACACGTACGCGCCACCACGGGCTGGTAAGGAGGTAAGCCTCCTTAGGTGCTCGTGCAGAGTTGTTCACACAACATGGGCACGAGTCTCCCCAAGAGAGGCAGGGTAATCCTTTCTCCCTTGACAGACGATGCAGCTTGTAGCGTGCACCTGTCGGGGTTCGCTTTTCAAACTTATCACGAGCTTTGATAAGTTTGTCGTTCCAAGCGTCACGACCTACATCCTCGAGATTATGGATGTAGGCGTTCCACGCCTGAAGTAGTGAGGGACCATCACGTATGTGATTCCCACTGTACCATCGATGTCTGAAGAAAGCATCGATGAAGAACTCATGTTCAGCGCGATAGTCTTTCGCGCTGGGGTCAAGGTGATGGATCCTTGACGAATCGAACAATCGTGTTCGATAACGATCACTAGTCGTCGCCGACAAGTGATACCATGACGGATTTTGGAGGCATCCATGCCTTCTTTTCGGGAGCGAGACGCAAGACATTGCGGTCCCGCTCTTCCTGCGACGTGCCGACAGAAGTACTGGCACCTCGCTGTGAAGTGGTGTCCATAGGAGAACCGACACCACTATTAGCGCCCGAGTCTCGCGACCTCGAGCGCCTTCGCTTCGGCGATGATTCATCTGATTCATCAGATGAACCAAAGATGCTGCGACGCAAAGCATCGTCCATGCCACGCTTGGCAGGCGGCTTGGATTCAATCGCCGTCGATACGGATCCGTCATCCGTATCAGGAGAGTACGAGACACCGAGCTCGTACTCTGTGAAGACACGAGTGTCTTCATGACCAGCGCCTGCATCACCAAGTGACACAGGCTGGGTCGATTCAGCAACCGATGAGACATCAGTTGCTGTTGTTTCTGCTTCGGCGTGCGGACGCGCCCTCGGCGGCCTTGCTCGCGCATCGCATGGGCTTGTTTACCATGCGATGAGATGTTGGAAAGTGGACGCGGACCAACAAGTGCAAACCCTGTCCCAAATGATTTGGGACGAGTATCCATTTAGTCAATCAGTCACTAAAGTGACTGATGGTTAAGGGGGGGTGATGTAACGGGGTGAACCGTTGCATAACAATTTATAAGAAATTGTTAATAGAATATAACTATAAGAGTTATATTCTCAGAATATTGTCATAAGGACAAATATTCTGTAGCACTTACGAGTAGTTCCTAATTGGTTGATATAGGCCATTATATCAACAAACGAAGACGCGCCACGACAGACGCACGCAATGAGTGGTGAGCAGATAGCTGATTTACAAATTTGTATTTAGACATAGTTAGATGAAGATAAATAGTGATTTATTGCAGACATTAACTATACTAACTACAGTTCTACTTTTACTTTAACCAAGTACTCGCTTCTTCTTACCGTCTTCCTCTGCACGTACCAGTGTACGTGAAGTTACGAGGCACCGCCTTATTCTGTCATCAGAATAATTAGCTTGTACTGTCACCAGTACAAGCTTCAGGGTGCCCGTTACAGTGAGCCTCATGTGTCGGGTCCAGCACATGGGCGTACTGTAATGGGGTGAATCGTTACATAACAATTTATAAGAAATTGTTAATAGAATATAACTATAAGAGTTATATTCTCAGAATATTGTCATAAGGACAATATTCTGTAGCACTTCCAAGTAGTTCCTAATTGGTTGATATAGGCCATTATATCAACCAACGAAGACGCGCCACGACAGACGCACGCAATGAGTGGTGAGCAGATAACTGATTTACAAATTTGTATTTAGACATAGTTAGATGAAGATAAATAGTGATTTATTGCAGACATTAACTATTATAAATACAGTTCTACTTTTTACTCTAACCAAGTACTCGCTTCTTCTTACCGTCTTCCTCTGCACGTACGAGTGTACGTGAAGTTACGAGGCACCGCCTTATTCTGTTATCAGAATAAGTAGCTTGTACTGTCACCAGTACAAGCTTCAGGGTGCCCCGTTACACCTGGTAGCACTTCGTAGTCCGTCCAAGGACCGCGTTCACATCCAACATGAATATGTTGGATGATGAAGATGACCAAAGCTTTCACGCTACGCGTGACGGCTACTCCCATTTGAGCGATGTCGAATGGGATGCGGTTGAACGAATGGGTTCAACCATGGGCATCCATGCTGTTAGCGTCATGCTAGAGGGCTCTCAATAGAGATGCCCAACATGCTACTATCACCAAGTTCATTCAAAATGAACTTGACGCAGAACGCGAGAAAGTAGCCTTGCTTCACCAACAAGGTTCTCAACAAGCAGAGTTGTTGAGAGAACAAGGTGCTCAACAGTTTGAACTGTTGAGACAGCAGCAGGCTGCTGCTGGTGGGTCGATGCACTCGCGTCGGCCCGAGACTTTGAAGATTGACATCTCCAAGTATAGGGGGGTCGAAGAAGACTCCCTCTTGAGATGGTTCGTCGAATTGGATGACGCCATAAGGGCGCGTCGCATCGACGACGGGGATATGCAAGTTGCATTTGCCCAGTCAAATCTGGCAGGACGTGCCAAGACTTGGGCACTGGGGCTCAAGCTGCACGACCCATATGCGTTTGGGTCGTTGGAAGTCTTCAAGTCGCGGCTCAGACAAACGTTTGAACCGCCTAGAGCTGAGTTCAGAGCTCGAACCGAACTCTTGAAGCTCAAACAGGGTAAGCGTGATGTGCACGCTTACGCTCAACATATACGACATCTCACGAGTTGTATAAGTTCCAATCCGGTGGATGAACACACGTTGGTTTCGGTGTTCATGCAGGGTCTTGCGGATGGTCCCGTCAAGACTCACCTGTTCCGGCTTGAACTAGATTCACTAGAACAAGCCATTTCCATTGCGGAGCAGGAAGACTTCAGTCTGAGACAGGCTCGCGCCAGCTCGACATCATATCGTCAACCGAGACGATATGACAACGGAGGTCCAGAGCCGATGGAACTCTGTTATGTAGAGAGCGAGAAGGCTCGCTCTACAGGCTACAAGAAGTTGCAGAGATGCAACAGATGTCAAAAGACAGGACACTACGCTTACGAGTGTAGTGCCCCTCGTCCAGTGTCTCGCGACACTGGGCGTAGTGACCGTCCACCCATGAGAAAGGGGCAGGGACGAGGGTCCGCAGTTGGTGCAAAGACGCAACAACGGGATGGACCGTCAAAAAACGGACAGGATCAGTAGGTGCGGAGCACCCTACTGATCCAGCAACGTCAAGAGAATTTGTAGGCCTCTTGATGAAGGTTGCTCCCAACACACAGACATTGTGCGTTGCTGCTCTAGGTAATGAGATCTCACTCATTACCTTGAAACTCGAAGTGACGAATAAGTTGTCCCTTCGAGCTCTAGTCGATTGTGGGGCGTCCAACAATTTTGTGCGACGCCAATCGCTAGAAGATGGTCACTTTAAATTCAGTGAATGTGACACACCTCCTACGAGGATGACGGTACGTCTTGCGACAGGCGCATCCGTAACCGTCATGAAGCGTATAGTGAAGATCCACTATACGCTAGAAGATACCCAATACGACGATGACTTTATCGTATTGGATCTGGATGACAAATTTGATGTCATCCTTGGAATACCGTGGCTCGGAAGGTACGAACCACGGGTAAACTGGCAACATCGGACAGTAACGATGCCTGCCGCTTGTTCATCAGATGGCCATCTGATGAACGTTTTGGAGCGTCCTCAAGCGTGTGGATGTACTACGAGTGAGTGCGATGACCTCACTTGTGGTACGGTCGTTAGTACGACTGCACAAAACCTTAGTGTACCAAACGGTTACACTTCGGAGCAAAGTTCCGGCGGCTGTGAGGAAACACAGGCTGCGCCGAAGGTCCACCACTCGAATAAGTCGGGTGGACTGGGACAAAGATGTATCCCTAGAGGGGAACATCTAGAAGAGAAACAATCGATCGCTCAGGTTAAGCGAAACGATAATCCTAGATCGACTGGAGAGTCTTTCGTAGAGGATCTCGCTGTGGTTGCGCAACCCCAGCTAGAGGAAGTAAAGGGAATAAGTCCCAAGATTACAAATACGGCGGAAATAAGTTCCCCGAAACCCGCGGGAATAAGTCCCCGGGAAGACGAAGGAATAAGTCCTTCGAAGCCTGAGGGAATAAGTCCCCAGGAAATGACAGAGACATTGAATGTCATAGTCAATAACGGATCAAGTGTAGGCGCTTATACACTTGATCTGATTGCGCCTCCGAAGTTAACTTCGGAGATCACTCAGTTGCCAACGCTCGAACATAAAAGATTCTTGCGTGATCTGCGTAGTGGCAAAGTCAAGCAGATCTGCATACTCGTCGCTGAAGACGAGTATGTAACCGACATAAGGTCAGCAACAGTGTTTACTGAGAACGAGAGAGTTCTCAGTAGTTCATCTATGGACGAGAGTGTCCTAGATGAAAAGACACGAATTGAGCGATATGAGTCCCAATCATGGGAATCGCTCAAGGAAAATCCTCTCTATGAAGATTTGGTTGAATTCAAGGATGTATTCCCTGAAACTGTTCCGTGCGAATTACCGAAGGATAAAGGTATTCGACACGAAGTCGAGCTTAAACCAGGCTCGAAGTACTGTGTCATGAAGCAGTGGCCACTGCCTCGTGAACAAGTACTTGCGATCGACAAGTTCTTTGCCGATCGTTTAGCAGCGGGCCATGTGAGGGAATCAACTTCCCCACATAGCTCTCCGACCTTCTGTGTGCGAAAAGCAACAGGAGGGTGGCGGATAGTGCACGCGTTTAACAAATTGAACGCTGCAACGGTACCGGCTCAGACGCCGATACCGAGGAAGGACGTAATCATTGATGGTATGTCAAAGAGTACCATCTTTTCGTCCATGGATTTGATGGATGGCTTCTATCAAATCCTAATGCGGGAACGGGATATACCCTATACCGCAGTTAGCACGCCTAGCGGCATGCTCTGGGAATGGCTAGTAATGCCACAAGGGCTCAGTAATGCCCCTGCCACGTTCAACAGGTGTGTATCACATCTGTTGAGGCCAGTACGAGAATTCGCGCCGAGTTATTTCGATGACGTATTCATCCATAGTCGAGCTATGGATGGAAAGTCGGACGTTGAGGTTCACAAGTACCACGTCCGACAAGTTCTTACAATCATGCGAAAGCATCAATTGTATGCAAACCTCAAAAAGTGTATATTTGCAGCAAGCGAAATACCACTTCTTGGGTGCATCGTTGGTAAGAACGGTGTACGTCCTGATCCCGAAAAGATCAAGGCGATCACCGACTGGCCTGTGCCGGTTGATGTCAAAGGTCTTCGAAAATTCCTTGGGCTAGCGGCGTATTTGCATAAGTATTCACGCAATTACGCCGAGATGACTGTACACCTCTCTCGTTTGTTGAAAAAGAACGAGAGGTGGTTATGGAACGCTGAATGTCAACGCTCCTTTGAGGGTATCAAGCAGAGCTTGATACAATCCCCAGTCCTAGCAATAGCCGATCAGGACAGGCCATTTCATGTGGTCTGTGATGCCAGCGATTTCGCAATCGGCTGTGCATTAATGCAGTACGACCTTGAAGGCGTTGAACGCGTCGTCTGCTATCAGTCGCGTCAGCTGCAACCAGCTGAGCGGAACTATCCAGTGCATGACAAGGAACTCCTTGCCATGAAGTATGCACTCGCGAAGTTCAGAGTCTATCTATTAGGAGATAGACCCTTCGTTGTTTACACTGACCATGCGTCCTTACGCACGGCAGTGAACAGCCCGCACCTTTCACAACGAATGGCGCGGTGGTTGTCATTCTTTGCAGAATACAACTTTACGGTCGAGTACAAACCAGGACGACTTAATGTCGTCGCTGATGCACTCTCACGTCGTCCCGACTTTGAAACAGTCGCGAAACCCAACAGTGAGACAGTCACTGTTGCGGTTATGACGTCCTCAGTTCCATCTACAACGTTGTATGATGATGTGAGGCGGGCATACGCCCAAGATGGTGAGATAGTGAAGTTGTTGTCACATCTCTCCCAACCATCTCGAGAATCGTTGAAACGATTGTCGTCTGCGTATCGATCTGCATCAGATCGATACACTACTCGTAACGGTTTACTGTACTATACAGCCGTTTCTGGTGACACACCACGTGTTGTCATTCCAGATGATACTGATCTGCGTTTGCGGATCATGTTCGAGTATCACGATGCTCCTATAGGAGGACATCGTGGCCGAGAGAAAACATATCTCACGGTAAGTCGAGACTTTTACTGGCCCCGCCAGTATCAGTTTGTGCGAAAGTATGTTCGCGCATGCGAAGTCTGCCAACGAGTGAAGTCAAGTCCTTCACTGCGTGCACCTTTACAGCCTCTACCGGTTCCGGCTGAGTGCTGGGAATCCATCTCAATGGATTTCGTCTTCGGGTTACCCAAAGACGCACGCGGGAATACGGGTATTCTCGTATTTGTTGACAGATTCAGCAAAATGGTACACCTTGTGGCTGTACCAGAGACAATCACGGCAAGTGGCTGTGCTTGTGTCTTTATTGACACCATCTTCCGACTTCATGGGTTGCCCCGTGAACTCGTATCAGACAGAGATCCACGATTCACTGCTGATTTCTGGCGTTCCGTGTTCAAATCACTCGGAACGCGCTTGAAGATGTCGACATCTGATCATCCAGAGTCAGATGGTCAGACGGAACGTGCCAATCGTGTCCTTGAAGAGATACTTCGAGGATACGTACACTCCTTTAAGAGTTGGAGTGAGTTTTTGCCGATGGTAGAGTTTGCCATCAACAACTCGGTGCATGCGTCCACGACACATACACCGTTTTACGTGAATGGCTTGCGCCATCCGCGTGTACCCACCTTACTAGAGTGTAACTCTGGTTTAAGGGGGGAGGGACTCGCGCGAGCAAAAACCGATTTGGTTCACGCTCATCACGCTCTGACGAAGAAGTCATTGCGTTTGATGCCGATATCGATAACATCGATATCGAAGAATATGATGCCAGTGAGAGTGCGGAAGCCCTCACTGAAGACAATGATCCCAGTGAGAGTGCGGAAGCCCTCACTGAAGAAAAGGTTGTTGTCGCTGCAGTGCGCTCACAGCACACTGAAGCTAACGAGTCATCAGATGAGTTCATACTGGCTCGTGAAACGGTAGTCCGTTTTGTGCAAGACTCCATCGCCGAAGCGGTGGATAAGCAAAAGCAAAACGCTGACAAGAATGGAAGGGCAAACACTCTTTTATTTAATAAAGGTGACTTAGTCCTACTGTCTACGGTTAATCTACCAAAACATGTAGTGACTAACTTGGGTAGCAGTAAACTACTACCCAAGTACATTGGCCCATTTCGTGTATTGCACCGCCTAGGCAATGCATACACGATCGAGTTACCACGTAAGATGCGAACGCATCCCACGTTTTACGTTGGTCGGCTTAAGCCGTACCATCAGTACGCTGCTTCTTCCGATGAAGAACGCCCTTGCGCTCAAGCATCTCGCAGAGAGCCTTGTGCTCCCGATGGTGGGCATCAACAAGGGTCTGAAGAGCAGTTATCTCAGCCCGAGACCGATCAACAATCCCACGAGCTACCCTTAGCTCGTCACGAAGAGATGTCAGAGATCTCTCGTTCTCAAGCTGAGCAAAGGCAAACTCAGCTCGATGCTTCGAGGCAGTGTCCACCATCTGGAGACGCCTATTCCGCTCATGCTCGAGATCGTCGCGTAACCCTTGCGTTACGCGATCAAAGAAGCTCTCGGGAACACACCGATCCACATGATCGTGTGGAGAGCGTCTTTCCTCCTCCTCCACCTCCATTAGAGGACTCTCGCGGTGGCCAGCGCTATCTAGTAGAGCAGCTGTTGAACCACCGCGACGTGAACGGACGTCGGACGAGTTATCTCGTCCGGTGGCGCGGCTATCCCCCGTCCTGGGATTCTTGGGAGCCCCGCTCCCAATTGATGGTTGACGTACTGGGTCTGGTCGAGCAGTACGACGCGACACATCCTGTGCCGCAGAAGGACCGCCGGAGAAAGTCTTCCCGGCACGGTCGTAAAGGGATTTCAGGTTGTCAATCCCTTCGTACATCTCAGTAGAGACACGTACGCGCCACCACGGGCTGGTAAGGAGGTAAGCCTCCTTAGGTGCTCGTGCAGAGTTGTTCACACAACATGGGCACGAGTCTCCCCAAGAGAGGCAGGGTAA